ATTTATCGATCGATCGTACCTCTGTGCTCTATTGTTCGTCTATTGTCGAGGCAAGCCACAATAGGAATGCCAAGCGTAAACTCGGATGCGATCGTACGTACGCATACGATCGTAAAATATCTCGCCTCGTGCACAGGAATTACACAAAAAATTTACTCTTACCTGTCGGTATCGCAACCATCCAAGAAGGGCTTCAAGCACGGCTCGTTCTGGTCGTGTTCCAGACCATACAGCTCAGAGAGTGAGAGTCGACCGTCGCTGTCACTATCCAAATGTCCAAACATCCACCTGACCTCGCTCTGACAACCGATAGGGAAGTGACCTAAAATTGTTACAATTGATACAATATCTTTCCCATTCTCTCACTAGACACACTGATGATCATGGTCACAAGTGATACAAAAAAAAACGCACAAAACAAGCACGCATATAAACGAGTATTAGCGCAAATCACCAGCTTATGTGAATAAAGAAGAAATATTACGTTGTTAAATATGTACGTATATAAATGTCTAAAACACATGTGACAATACATTTTTAAATTGTGCTCTAAATGTCCAGCAAATAAATCACTCCATTCACTTGGATGCAGAATCATCTCGTGACATTAAAGTTACATTTTTAAAATAAAACTAGTGTCAATGAAAAATCGTTTAATTGGAAAAAGATTAAAGCAAGATTACCGTACATTTTCCTAATTTCATCAATTTTACAAGAGAATTACCTAGTTTCGTCTGACTGTAACTAGAGAAAAAGTTATTAGACTATTGATATTATCTATATTATTTATAATACTATTTATCTCTCCAACTACGTTTCTTTATCTCTCTATATATGATACAAGTCGCATAAAATTAAAATTGATTCAAAACGCAAAGATAGTAGCTTCTCTATAATTATTACAATCTTTAGATTATCCTCTCGTCGTGGTTGAAACATGTCTAGTCAAACCATCCTCTCGATTCAAATGGGATCGTCGGCTGTACAACTATGTGTATAGATGCACTTTGTTTTGCCTTAGGCGACGTAATACCGTAAGATCAACATAGGAGCGGTATCGGGAGGACAATATCGACAGACAGTACCGCCTAAAATAATCGCGACGTACCTAGGGCGGGAAACGATTCATTGTACTGGGACAATTTCGAACTGGTACGAAACTGATTGTCTCCAAGTCGAATGGCGTGTATTGTCGGTGCTTGGAAACTACCAAGTAGATCGTACGTCGCAATGTCCATCCTCTTCTCCGAGGACAATTAGTCTCTCTTGTACGCTTTGCAGAATCTCCAATGTCCCGGGAACATTTCAATACACTTGAAGCGCATCTAGCGTGGTAGTAAGCGTCATCGCACGACTGCTTAATGCACTTTTAAATGTCTATCGCGAAATCCAAAATGTTTGACTAAGATGTGTAACCAGTTTTTCCTTAACAATAACTCGGTGATGTTTAACAACAAAATATTTAACAATAAAAATTAAATTCAGCAAATTAAACTTTGAAAACACACATAATACGGGTAACAAAAGTATTATACAGTTTTTATAAATAAATTTGAATTAATAAAAAAACAAAAATTTAATTCGAAGCTTAATTACAGTAAATAATTAAGAAATTAAATTAAAATTTTTTTTCTATGAGAAGAAATTAATATAAAATTTGAAAAAAATTTACAACTATATAATGATTGCGGAATATATTCCAAGACTCTGCATATATGTCGAGCGTATTTCTGTCTCGCAAGCAGCCGGCATCTAAATGCTGAAAAATCTTGAAAATTTCGCTACAAGTTTTCTCTTACCTTTAGGCTTGGGATGTTGACGACGATGCTTGGAGTCTGCCATCACGACGGAGAACCAATCCAAAAGTCGATTGGCCATCGCAGGCTTGGATGACGACGGGCAATCGGTATTTCTGGATGATGATTGCACATTGTACATCGTTTTCAAGGGTGACTGGGTTTTGTCCGGCACTTCGTTGCTCATCAGATGCTTGTCGTCATATCTGTTCGAGACAGCGAGACCCTGCAATATAAAACACATATGTTAGTAATGCATAAAACATGTACATATCTGAGTATGAAAATATAAATGCAACATATAAAAGAGCATTTGATTGCGTGCCAATTGTTATATAAAACATTAAATAGAGAAATAAATTGAGCAAAACAACCAATGTTATATATTACGGAATTCGTATTGCGCTTTGGGGACAAAATGTTATTACTTCAAATTTCATAAATTTTAAATTACAACATACAGTAATCGTGTATCGTCACCGTAATTTTAATTTAATTGATCGAGTTTTGCTTTTAGGCACAATTGATTATTATTTGGTTTAAGTGGTTAACATTTGTGATGTTTTATTTTTCCATATAATTAAATTTTGGTCACACGTTTTGAAATATCATAAATAAAATATCATAAAATTTTAAATAATTATACATATTTTATTACATTTTTGCGAATACATTCATACACGTAATCCTTTTGATTCTTACATAAAATGAAAAGAAAGGAAAAAATGTGAATAATCCAAGCAAGTCTTTTGCTACTTCAAAAAATTTCGTAAATATTTGATTTATATATTTTTCATAACTTTAAATGCATAACTCACTTCTTTTAGTCGCATCGAAAAGTGGTTGTAAAATTACTATTCTGTTCGTAAAATTAATAATAATTTAATAATTACTGCGGGCGTCCATAAACAAAAGTTTGCTCGTACAAAGCAATCGTTTCGAAGTTGTTTATAATGCTTTGTATTTCTTTGGTTCAAATGTTGGTAATATCAACCAAAAACATAAATGCAATAACAGTATAAATTAATTCTTGGCTAGTTATCGGAGAAATGTTTTATCAAAATAATTTTTCCAGATACAAAACAATTGAGAACGGCAATGCGCGGTAATTAGATCCCAAAGAATTTTTATCTTCATGAATAATAGAGTCGAAATAATATTTTGTTATTATTATATAACAATTTGTCATAATACAATAAATGCAATAAATATTTAATTTAAAAAAATTAAAAACTGTAATAAGAATTAAATATTATTAAAAAGTAACTTACATTCAATGTTAATTAATTTATTAACAGATGAGAAATAAATGATATCAAAATAGAGGATATCGAGCCACACTAGATGTTTATTACTGATTACACAAATCATTAGATTCACATTATTTTACCGAAGATGGTACAAATTGACCGAAACGTCTGCATCGAATTCGCAAGCGAAAAATTGTTAAACGTATTGATATTGCAAAAGGAATATTGTATAATCAACAATAAACATCTAGCGTGGCTCGATATCCTCTATTTCTCATCTGTTGATTATTTGTTACGAGCCTGTACAACTACATATCTAATTTTTAAATTAACTTATCTTCTGCTTTCTCGAGTACAAATAAACATTTATGTAGCTCATGTGTAGACGGATATCTGTCTATTAGTTAAACATCTAAAATTTTAGCCAACTTGCGAGTTGCAGACCCAGTTCTCTCCTTGCAAGCTTAACAAGGATTCAACAATTTAGCCAACAAAGTTTATTCATTTATCTATTTAGCAATCCGTCATATGTTACAACTATCCAAGTAATTAAAATTAAATTGTCTTTAGAACGATATGAATTTCAAATCAGGCTTGCAAAATAAATGTTTAAGAAATTAGTGACTACGTGCAACGTTTGATTAGGAGTGTTCGTGAAATTTCTAACGACGCGTGGACCAGCAGGCTAATAATTAATTACATTACCTGCAATCAGTTCGTTAATCAACGCTCTCTACTGTCATTCCCATCCGGCCGCGCCTACTGGCAGCGGGAATTGTTGAATGATCTCTCGATTGCCAATTCGTTTAATCATATCATCGGCTTCTCACTCACACACGCCCATTAAACTTCAACGGCTAGATTCGACTAATTACGACCAGACTGACGTTGATATACGTGCGACGTACGGGCAAATAATTCAGCAATGAATGTTTCGCGCAAACTAAAAATCGTATAGATTCAATTTTTCGATAAAAATAAAAGATAAAAATCCGAGAAAACTTATCAAAATCTAAAGACATCGAAGCTGAAGTCAGGAAATACATTTTGAATCTCAAAATAATTTATGTACCAAATGTTGCTGTGTACCTTTACCAGAACGAGAGAGCATTTAAAAAATAATTAGCCGCGCGTGTTGTAAAAAGACATTGTACAGAAAATGATGGAAATGATTGTATTAC